TGTGTCAACCTTCAAATAACACTATATATTTTCATGTGTAGGGTGATACCTTAGAGTATCCTCAATTACTCCATCCCATCTTTTATGACACTGATGTCAATCATTTCATGTACCAATATCTTACAACCAGTATAGTGATATTATAGATTTGAACAAACACTTAAGTTTTAGTTAATGAAGATAAAAGTGATTTTATTTTAACTTTAGTTATTTCTTCTTCAATGTTTCTCCTTTCTTATGGGGTGTTGGACATTTTTTGCAGGTCAAGTCTGCTGGTGATGAATTCATTTAGTTTTCTTTGACAAAGTCTTCTTTATCTTTCACTTTTGAAAGATAATTTAACTGGATATATGTAGGTTAGTGGTTTTTCTCTTTAAACACTTTAGATATTTCATTCTAGTCTCTTCTTGCTTATATATTTTCTGATTAAAAGTATGTTGTAATTTTCACCTTCTCTATAGAAAAACTATATTTTCCCCTCTCTGGATTATTTTTTGCTTTTCTTTTTCTTTTTACGCATTTTGAATACGGTGTAGTATTTTTTCTTTTTTGCTGTTTATTCTTCTTGGTGTTCTTTAATTTCTTGTATTTGTTTTTTGGTTTCAGTCATTACTTTTAGAAAATTCTACAGCCATTTATTTCTTCAAATACGCATACTTCCTTTTCACTCTTACCTCTCTCTTCCCCTTCTGACATCCCAATTATTTATATTTTACACAGTTTGGAATTGTCCCATAATCTTTGGGTGCAGTGCTCTGTTGCTGCTAAATTCTTTTTTCTCTTTACATTTGTTTGATAAGTTTCTACTGAGCTATCTTCAAGAATCACTGATTATTTCCTCTGCCATGTCCAATATATTTCTATACTAATGTGCCTATCAAAGGTATTTTTTGTTTAATGGAACTTATTGGAGTGGAATTTGTTCACCAGATCATACAGGTTGCAAGTGTACAGTCCAAAACATCATCATCTGCACACTGGATCATGCTCACACAGCCCCAAGCAAAGTCCTTTCTCTTCCCCATTTCACCCCATCACTTTGTTCACCTCCACCTATTCTTCATCTCCCTTTCCCTCTGGATATTACACTGTACCTGTATGTGTCATATATATATATATATTATACACACACACACATATATGACACACACACACATATATGTGTAATCTGAGGTGGTGGAGAACTAGGGGAAGGGTCATCTAGGAACCTATAAGTGAAACCTAATCAACAAAACAAACAAGCAAGCAAAATATAATCAGAGACATTGAAATAAAGAACAAATTGACAGTAACCAGAGGGAAGGGTAAAATAAATAACAAGGCAGGGGAGAACTAGGGGAAGGGTCATCAAAGAACATGTATAATGGACACATGGACAAAGCCAAAGGGGGTACGATTGAGGGTACCCCCATTAGTGGGTATGGCCCACTAATTTTGATAGTGGGGGAGATTGTGCACATTGGAGGGGAGCAGGGAGTATGCAGGAATCTCTGTTTCTTCCCCTCAATTGTTCTGGGATCTTTGAAATACTTTAAAATAAAGTCTATTTTTCAAAAATTATTTAAAAATATCATCAGATCACTCAATTATATTTTCCTTTACCATTCAGTTCCCTTATATGCTTTTTAGTAATCTTAATAAAAAATGAAAGGAGGAATCTTTTTCCTTATTTAAATTTATTTTTATTGTATTTTATCCTTACCATTTATACTTCTTATACCTTCTTCTACCTGCACCCACCCTCCCCAACCTCCACAATCAACAATTGAATATGCTAAAAAATCTATTCACATAGTTCCTAACTAATGCATAGTTCTGAACAGTAATTCTTTTCATGAGCAGCTTTCCTTACTAATATGTTTTCCTACACAGAGAGAAAACAGACCATGTTTTATCCAATATTCTCTAAATGTTATTTCTAATGAAAATTAATTTCATTTGACTATCCATTCAAATTATTATTTAAAGCAAAAATTAATATTCTTTCTGTGCTCTTTGACAATTTCTCCCCTGCCTTCTTTGTCTCCTTTCTCATGGTGGAATTCTATGAAATTTCAATTTAATGAGGGATTGAAGATAGAATTATTAAAGGACTGTATTTAAAAATTTCCCTTAGGAAAATGGACACAACTGTACTTGAACAACAATTAAAAAATTTAAAAAATTCCCTTAGCACTGTATGAATTAGAAATAAATAAAAATAACAATATTATGAAAGCAAATGGATAAAATAAAAAGTAGTTATAGAGAAATGGCAAATGCCACCAACACTCATAAGTTATAAAGTTACTGCTAAATTTTAAAAATGTGGTTTACATTTTATAGAAATACAGGTAAGTAGACTGTCTTAGAAAATGGTACAACCTTTATTCTTACTAGAGGAATTTATCAGTTAAGTGCAGGAAGTCTGGTTGAGATCAAGGCAGAAATGTGATGGACAGTACAAAGTAATAGCATCTTGCTTTCCTAATCCAATTTTCTACTGACTTTGTTTTCCTTCAAAATATTTTTATATTTAAGACAAAAACTAAGGACTTCCACAATTTTCTGATTACTTGATTGCTGCTGAGATTTTATAATCAATAACTCTTCATGACTGTAACTTTTTCTTCAGCCAATCATCACTTGTTATTATGATACCAAGATACTCAATTGTCCACAAATGATTGTTATCCAGTTGAGAGCATTTTGTAACATCCAGGATTCGAAGAAGATCCCATGGTAATGTGAGTTAATGATGCTTGAACGTACAATAATATTAAAAACTTTTATTCTAAACAATCATTTAACTTTATGTTTGCCAGAATCAACTTTAAAGATGATTATTAACCAATGAAAATAAATGACTTTATGTCTTCTACAATCACAATACAATGTGGCAGTAACTGCCATGTAATTAAAAGAAGGTTATAGAACAAATGTATTTTGTGTAATCATTACATATTTGTAATTTTCCCTGTTAAAGGAAAACTATTTTTGAAACTTTACCATGTGATATTAGATATGAGTATACTTTTTGAAACCCTCTAAAAACATTACCTTCAACATACTCACGTATCTGATATGTTTCTCACCAAACCTCACATTTGCAAACAGAGCTTCATTGTTTCACAACACTTTAAAATAGTATTTCACTTTAAAGCATAATAATATTTCTTTTGGAAAGATCTATAGTAATTTTCATATGTTTATACATATTGACTTAGAATATAAGAATTAACTTCTTTAAATATGCTTCTATTAATCAACAAGATCAACTTTCTCTTACCCTCTTATTTTCTTCTCTTTCTCTTCTGTCTATCTATATACCCATTTATCATGTGTATCACACATGTAGTGTACATGTGTTTAGTTAACATTTGCATGTTGCTCTTCCACACTCTTAATTTTTCACTTTGCTTGTATACTCGCTATAATTTTACAAAAGCAAACTTGCACTGTTTCATTTATTTATAAATAACTCCAATAAATAATCCATAATCAAATAAAATTATTTTTAATTTTTCATTTTGTGGTAGTATTACCTTGTATTTGAAGAAATGCAACCCATTCCTTGAAAGCACAATGGAAAGAAAGAGGTGAATGCTTAAGGACACACTTGTCTATGAGCAATAAGAGAAAGAATTTCTACTGTGGCTTGGAAAATATGTAGAGCTCTTTACATTAAGCTATATGTCAGAAGACCAAGCTGAAAATCAACAAAGTCAAAATACAGTTACCCTCTATCTAATTAGAATTCTACCTACTGTGCCAAGACAACCATTTTTTTATTCATTAGAGTTGAGGGACTCATTAACTACAGGAACTAGACTTGAACTTGAGTGAGGGAGGCAGAGCCAACTGTGAAAGGGACAGTAGAAATATAAAGACAGTGTTGTAGCTTTGCTAATAAAGGAAAACTGAGGCATAAGCAATTTACATATTATCATTTCTAGGATACTCCCTGGAGTCAATTTCTCACACCATTCTAGGTTCTGAGTTTGTCATTTTTTCACATCAGTAAAAAAGACCATTTTTTTGTATCAGCTAAAAAAGTCTGAATACAAAGTGAATTTTATCAAAGTAACTTAATTTGCCTTTGTAGACCATAGTTTTTCTTTCCAATCATGATGGGCAGATATATGGATATCTTTAGTGAAAAAAATCTATTATTTTACGGAATATTAGCAAAGAAAAAATAAGGTAAATTTTGTCTTCTCTATTGCATTGAAACTTTGCAATTTTTAAAAGGAACCCAATAAAAAAATCAATATAACCTCACTTCTCTTTTTTGATAGCACATTTAATTTCTATTTAATTTTTCTAATGTTTTAACTATATTTTATTGATAATTCAAGTAGACATTTTAATAATTTTTAAAATTATATAACATGATTTTTGGAGATACAGAAGAATGCATTTGAGAGACTTTTATTAATATTATTTCACATACATTTTATATTTATATGAGGTTTTTAGTGTCATATCATATAATATGTATTGAATTAATTCATAATCTCTTGTGATGTGAGAGGTTATTGATTTACATATTTAGTTACATAGGTGAGAAATTTACCATCATCTATTATAATTTTAAATACTTAGGACCCAGTTTCTAGGCTAATAGGAATTACAGGCAAAATATAACTAAAGACACTGAAATAGAGAACAGGCTGACAGTGTCCAGAGGGGAGAGGGGAGGGAATTTCAGGGAAAAGGGGGAAGGGTTTGCAGGAACAAGTATAAGAGATATGTGGACAAAAACAAGGTGGGGGTGGAAATGGGAGGAAGGTGGGGAGGGCTGAGAGGGTGGGCTGGGATGGGAGTAAAAGGCAGAAAACTGTACTGGAACAACAATTAAAATTTTAAAAAGAAAGAAAAAAAGAAAAACAGGCATCGATGGTATATAAACATATCTGACTAAAAGGAAGAAATGAGGCATTTAGATAATTTATCTGGAGAAGAGCAGAAAGTTTTAATTCAGCTTTGCTTTCAGGGGGACACATTTCACATAATCACTTTCATTTATTTGAAAAAAAGACCATTCTCTGGATCATGTTCTTAAAGGTTTGCTTCACTTGCTTATTTCTTAGTGTATATATGAAAGGATTCAAGACAGGAGCCACTGACGTATTGAGCACAGCCACTCCTTTGCTTAAAGTCACCCTCTCCCTTGCAGAAGGCTTAATGTACATGAAAATGCAACTACCATAACTGAGGGAGACAACTATCACATGGGAGGAACAAGTGGAGAAAGCTTTTTTCCTTCCACCCATGGAAGGAATTCTCAGAATTGTCTGGATAATAAATATGTAGGAAATAGTTACTAGTGTTAAGGAGACCATGATTGTTATAACAGCTAAAACAAATGCCATGAGTTCTAGAAAGTGAGTGTTTGTGCAAGAAAGCTGCAGAACTGGAGAAGAGTCACAGAGAAAATGATCAATTATATTGGAGGCACAGAAATCCAATTGCAGTATCAGAATTATTGGTGGACAGGTGATCAGCAATCCCATAAACCAGGAGCTAAGGATGAGAAAGGTGCAGACCCTGCTGCTCATGATGGTGGTATAATGCAGAGGCTTGCAGATGGCCACGTAGCGGTCATAGGACATGGCAGCCAGAAAGTAAAATTCCGTCACCCCAAACAAAATGAAAAAAAAAAGCTGAACCACACAACCATTATAGGAAATCGTTCTATCCCCGGTCACAATAGTGACAAGGAATCTGGGAATGCAGACTGACGTGAATAATATTTCTAAGACTGAGAAATTTTGAAGGAAGAAATACATTGGAGTCTGTAGATGGGGATCTGAAAGGGTGAGGATGATAATGATGAGGTTCCCGGCCACACTTAGCACATAGTTAGTGAGCAGAAATGTGAAAAGTACAACCTGCCACCTTGGGTCATTAGTCAATCCAAGAAGAATAAACTCTGTTACTTCTGTGTAATTTCTCATTATTTTCCCTTTTTTCAATGATACACTGTGTTTTAGCTGTAAAATAGATGAAGAAATAAGAAAGCCATGGTACTACAAAGAAACACACACATGTACACACTCTTTATTTTTATTTATTTTCTTCTGTCTTTTTTCAGTTATATTTTATTGATTATGCTATTACTGTTGTTCCATTTTTTTTCCCTTTGCCTTTCTCCACCCAGTGCTCCCTATTTCCTCAGGCAAAACCCCACCACTGTTAATGGGTCATATATATAAGTGCTTTGGCTACTCCATGTCCTATACTGTACTTTATATCCTCATGGCCATTCTGCAGCTACCTATTTGTGCTTCTTAATCCCCTCACCACTTCACCCATTCTCCCCCTTCTCTCTCCAATATGGCAACCTTCTGGTAACTAACTTCTTTTCTATGTCTTTGAAAGTCTCACTTTTTCTTTTTTTTTTAAGATTTTATTTATAGAGAGAGGGGAAAGAAGTGAGAAAGGGAAAGAAACATCCATGTGTGGTTGCCTCTTCTGTGCCCCCTACTGAAAACCTGGTCCACAACCCAGGCATGTGCCCTGACTGAGACTTAAACCGGCAACCCTTTGGTTCTCAGACAGCACCCAATCCACTGAGCCACACTACTTTTTAAAACAATCATTGCTGCCCTGACTGGTGTGGCTCAGTTGGTTGGGCATAATTCCACTAACTGAAAGGTCAAGGGTTCCATTCTGGTTAGGGCACATGCCTGGGTTTCAGTCCAGTCCCCAGTCAAGGTGTGTATAAGAGGTAACCAATTGATGTTTCTCTTGCACATCAATGTTTCTCTTCCTCTCCTTCTCCCTCCCTTTTATTTTCTCTAAAAATACATAAATTTAAAAAAATCATTGCTGCCTTTTACTTTTAGAGAAAGATGACTTTGTAGTATACAGAAACAAAATACTTTTTAAAATTTTGTTTTATGTTATGGCATATATTAAGTCATTATTCCTATATTTTCTTTATTGTATTCTCACATGTTTCTGTGTAAATATCTATTCTCTGAACATTTTGATATATTCCTGAAAACAAAGAAACAACAAAAAAAAGGTTATTACCCTTCTCAAATAAAACTCTGAGAGCTTTTCCAGCATACCACAACAGTCTTTGTAGATAGGTATTTTTTGTTGCTCTCTATGTACTTTTTCAATTTTTCTATTTTGAACAAGCATTTCATTCTTTTTCTCTATTCAAATTTTTACAATCTATGAAGAAAATACAGTTGCCCTTTGGTACCATAATGAGTTCCTGATAATAGTGTACAGAGGTATTTAATTAATGGCAGGGTACCCAATCTAATTCCAATATCTGCAAGGTAATCTAATTTTAATTAAAAATCTCTTTTAATGGCTTTTTATAAGATTGTAAATATATTCTTGAGTGTATTTTTATATAGTGCTTACTTATCACAAGTCTGCTCCTGATACTAAAGCAGAAGTTTCACTTAAGTTCTAATTTTATTTTTGTAAACTGCAAGTGCTCTTTCTTATTTCTAAAATGATACATCACTCTCCCACAACATGGCCTATGCTTTTCTTGAGGAATAATAAAAGGAAATGGTTCAACATTAAAGTTAAGTTTGGCGGGGGGCACATACTATTGCTTTTTTTCCCATTTGTGGCTTCCAAGATAATTATTTTTTACAAACAGGAGAAAGATAAATTTTAAGATATGTGTGTGGAGTATTCACATAGACATGATACCATGAAAATTCCCAAGACAGTGAAGAAACGATAGGTATATATAACATCTTTGGATGAAGGAGAAGGGAGGTGGAAGATGGGGCATTCAGTTTCAGAAGTGAGAATGGGTGATTTAGAGGTATTTGAGGGAGAGTGGAATACATGTTTTAATTCTTGATATTACACAAGATTTGCTTAATTGGGTTTCCTGTTTAAAATTGTTACTTTCCAGAACAGCTTGAGATGTACTGTCATCTAAGATCATTTTAAAAATTAGTTAGATATGTTCAGATAGCCTGCCTAAGTCTGTAATGTCTTATTTGTTTTCTATATTCTTCAGAGGTTTCAGAGCTTTCAAAAGGAATAATATTTTCTCAGGATTAGCTGATTAATAATGTTAATGAATTCAAAATTTTTATCTACAAAATTTAGGGAGGGATATATTCCCACACTCAATCATTCATTCTCTTTGTGGTCGTAAGATAAGCACTGTTTCTATCTTTTCTCTTTGTATGATGGGTGCTAGCCTTTACTATGTATAAAATTCACATTGTGAATAACTAAAACATAAAATATTTCTTCTTAGTGTTAAGCACACCAATTAAAAATTTTGGGATCTTGTATAAAAATGACATATGTGGCATATAAAACAGACTCATAGACACAGACAACAGTATGGTGGTAATGGGAGAAGGAAGGGATTTGGGGGAATAGTAAAGAGGCCAAATACTTAGTGATGAAAGATGATTTGACTTTTGGTGGTGGGCAGTATACAGATCATATATCACAGAAATATACACTTGAAACCATATGATCTTATGAACCGATGTCACCTCCAAATAAATTTAATAAAAATAATTACATGATATCTTGAATTTATTATTTTAAGAATGGTATTAGAGATTATCTAGATAAGAACACAAAAATCATGTAGTGTTATCAATCGCAAAGTATTTATGTCCCAAAGAACAACAATGGTCTATGAAACAAGTAAATCATAGTAGTTTTAAAATTGACTTCATTTATGTAGTTCATAAAAAATATGTGGTTGAGTTTGATTTATACATAGTGTTGCAGATATTTGAGGTTACTTGTATAAAGCATAAATATACACTTCTAAAGCAAAAATATATTCTTTAAAGAAAGTATCAAAGATGTACTTACGTTTTTGGTAAATATGACTGATTTGTGCCAATACCATTAAAAATGGTTTCTTTGATTTATTTAAGCACAAGTACTTTAGGATTTTTCAAAAGCCTTTGCCATGCTTCTCCCCTGTCATTTTATGTTTGTAATCAGATATTCAAAATATTGATAATAAACATTATTCCAAGAATTCTCCAACAATGTTAACAGAAAAGGGCATACATGAACCCATTTCTATATATACATCCAATTTTCTCTTAGCATCTCAAGTACCAGAATGTCCTACCTATGCAATTGCAGGATGTATTATCTGGATACTTGAAATAAGCTATAGTTAAAATGCAAGCTTATGTCATATCTTTCCAAGCTTGGTGGGCAAGATGGTGTGATCTTTTGTGTGGAAGTAATGTTTTTCAGGCTAGCCATAATTTTATCTGCTTCTTCTACAATGGACTCAGGGGGATCAGCTGATGAATAAACAAAAGTCACCACTGAGATGGTGATCTCACAACACTCGGTGTTAAACAATAGTCCAGATTAGTATGTCATTTAGAATAGAATACATAAGTGATAGTGGCCTCAAATTAGAGCAAAACAATGTAAAGAATGATTTGCATTTTTATAACAACCGGTAATTTCACAAGAAGAAACTTAAAAACAAACTGACAGTAACTAGAAGGGAACGGGGGAGGAGGATGATAGGGGAAAGGAGAAGGGTCAAGTCAGGGAACATGTATATACCATACGATCTCACCTCTAACAGGAACCTAAACAACAAAACAAACAAATAAGCAAAGTATAACTAAAGACACCAAAATAGAGAATAGGCTGACAGTGACCAGAGGGGAGAGTGGAGGGAGGGAATTTCAGGAGAAAAGGAAAAGGGTTTAGAGGAATAAGTATAAAGGATACATGGACAAAAACTAGGGCGGGGGGTTGAAATGGGAGGGAGGTGGGGAAGGCTGGTGGGTGGGCTGGGATGGGAGTAAAAGACAGAAAACTGTACATGAACAATAATTAAAATAAAAATGTAAAAAAAGGACCCATGGACAAAGCCAACAGGGTAAGGAGAGGATTGAATGTGGGAGGTGGGGGTGGGTAAGGCAGGGGAGAGTAATGGGGAGCATGTGGAAAACTGCAATTGAACAACAATAAAAAAATAAAATTAAAAAAAGAAACTTAGTAACAGAAACAAACATTGGCAATTTATAAATGGCAAAACCTAAATTGTAAATAATGAGGGTTTTCTCTAATCTTAGGGAAAATATTAAGAGTTCATTGTGATGTTTTAGCCTGGGGCTCAGGTTTCCATGATTCGACACCATCAGAGGTGGTGGACTGGTCTTTACTGTTTTATGTCTTTGCCCTGAATGATGACTTAGGAAACCTGGTGGTGTTTAGAATCACTACCATTTATTCCTTCAACAATTGCTTGTTGGATCCTTTCTTTATGTGTGGCCTTCAAGCTTAGTTTCTGAGAATGTAGAGATGATAAAGACAACTTTTTGCATAATTTTTATTTATTATAGGAAAGTGTGAGAACTCTGCTTTTGAACTCTCAGATTCCCTTTCTTATGTGTAATACAAGTAATATTCTCCTGCATCATCTTCCTACTCACTGCTTTGATCTGAGAAGACATTGTAATATCCCATTTACACCCATAGTTTTGACACATTTAATTTTTATTTAATCCATGAGTTTCTTAAAACATTTTGATGCATAAAATGATTTAAATTAAATAGAAATTGTGATTATTGAATGAACTTAGATGCCGACCCTCTCTGAAAAAAGACTTTTAAAACTATTTTTACTGTTTCTTTGGGAGACAAATGAAGTTATTTAATGTACATTGTTAAGCAATACATTATGCATACTGAGGTAGAAATTTTTGAAGCCTAACTGTTTAAACTCTAAGGAGACTCTTTTATTAATGATCAATGTGAAGAACTTGAATACTGTGTCATAAGTGTGATGTTGAGTTGCAAATTGCAAACATTGTCATAACAGTGTTTATATGATGTTTACCTATAGCTCTTAATATTATTTAAAATTTTACATTATGGAGAACCTGTTATTAAATAAAGATACATGGAAATTGCTTTAATATATATGACCTCATCTTAACTTAAATGCATCTGCAAAGACCCT